ACATATTCTCTAGATTTCATCTAAAATACAAGAAACCTGTGCGTATGTTCTTTAAAATAAGGCTTGATCCTGTGCAGATCAGTGGGAGTTGAGGCCACTCAGCAACCAACAGGATGTGGCTGATAGTAAACGGGAAGGTTAGATCAGACCACTGATAGACCGCTCCATCTGGCTCTTTCTTATTCTGAACAGAGACAGGGTGTGGTTGGTCAGCTGCCTCTGCAATATTATCTCCTCCTGGCCAGGACCCATTGAAAAGCTGAGAATAAGTTAAATGCAGTTTGAGGCTTTAACACCTCTCTGTCTCTTCTGCATGCTGGCAAACCTACGAAAGCAGGCATCATGGGGGAGCTGCCAACTAGGGATTCTCTGGTAATATAGAAGTCTGGAGTCCAGACAGAGCCAACAGGGAGGCAAAAGGCTTTCTCATGGATGGGCTTGCCCTCTTGCAATCTAGGAGGATATGAGGGTAGAATTGCAGGATATTCCATAGGAGGCAATAGCACCCAAAGAACCACCCCAAGAAAACCCTATAATGGGACCCTGGCAGAGTTTCCCTTTCCTCCAGAGTTCTCTCCCATGAATATTTTTGAGGGGTGTGTGTGCATGCGTGTGTCCGTCCAATGCCAGAGTTAGCAATATCTAAGGCTAACATTACCTAACATTCTAAGACAAGCCCAACCCCCACCTTACCCTGTCTTTCTCTCTCTCACTTTCTGCTTTTACTAATGATATGTTCAGATCAGCTCTCCCTCTCCCCTGTGTTATTAGAAATCTCTGGTAAGTTAGCAAAATTCATTCCAATTATAGATTTAAACACAATATAGCTAAATGCCCAATAAGCCTGGGAGCAGAACAGACTCATATTTTTTTGTTTCAGAGTAGCAGCCGTGTTAGTCTGTATCCGCAAAAAGAAGAACAGGAGTACTTGTGGCACCTTAGAGACTAACAAATTTGTTAGTCTCTAAGGTGCCACAAGTACTCATATTTTTTTGTGTGGGAAATGGGACAGGAGGGCACTGATTGTGACTGTAGTACACACATCCAGATTAAGTTAGACACAGTAATTGTGCAACAGTATTGCTGTGTTTGCAATCCATTGGTAAAGTGGTATTAAATATGTAATGTTTTTTCAGTTGCTAATTGACAACACTACAACAATTACCATTATCAGTTATTAGTTGTCCAGCTCTGACAAAGTATGTTCCACAATATAAGACACAAAAGGAAGATAAACCCTTCCCAGAAGTGCTGATGTGACACATCAAATAATATGTAATGTTTATTGATGCCTCTGATTATTTTATAGATCATCCAGGATTCCACTATACTCCGGAGGGAGAAATGAAAGCATCATATAATTCTAAAGAAGGTCTTACCCCACGGAGGGTGAGAAGGAAGTCAGGTGATTAAAATGTGTACTGTCAAAGAAAGCTAAAGGAAAATGTATTGTAATTTTTTCAAATTATACATAGCAAGGGGGCAAAGATTGAGTTACTGTAAGAGGCATTATGTGAAAAGAAAACACCCTCCACTGATTGCTGTTTTAAAACTGAAATGTATTGCTTCCTACAGATTGTCATGTTTGTTTGCAATCAGTACGTAACTCCTAATCTAAAATTCTCCCAATTGAAATAAAAGGATCAGTAGAGCTGGCCAGAAAACACCATCCATCCCATCGGAAATTCTGAGTTTTGGAGATTTTGTTTCATTTTGAATCAGAACAAAACCTCAAATCTCAGAATTTCTGGCAAAAGGGAATATTCCATGATGGAAAAATACCGGTGCTGCTGCTGCTACCTGTTCCAGGTCTCTGTCCGGCAGCGCTACTCCTGGGCTAACAACAGCAGGGGGCATGCTACTGAGGAGGAACCAGGAGGCTGGCTGGCTGCTGAGGAGTTGGGAACCCAGGCTCCTGTGGAGCTAGGCAGGCAAGCTGGCAGGTTTCAAAACCTGGCTGGCAGGCAGGTTTCCATGGCAAAACCTACCTTGTTTCTGTAGTAATTGGACATTCCCACTGAATGGTACAAATGGCATTTTCTGATAGAAAAACGGCCCATTGGAAAATTTTCAGTTTGTTCTACTTATCAATTTTTCTCTTTCAAACTCAAAACACATGCACAATAAACTCAAAACACATACAGGTACACTCAAATACATAATAAAGTGTGTGTGAGTTTTTGTTTTGTCTTTCCTCACAAGCTACTAGCCTAGTTTAAGATGTTTTGGGAGAATGATGAGGAGAAAGTTCTGTGGTTTATAAGACACAAGACTGGGAGCCAGAAGACCTGGGTTCCATTCCTGACTGTACCATAATAGCCTTAAGCTTGTCACTTAATCTCATACAGTTCATACAGTGGGGTTTAATACCGCTCATTTCACACAGATATTGTAAAAGTTAATTAATGTTTGAGAGGTAACTTGAGATTCTTAGAAGGTATTATAGAAAGACACAATATTATTTCTATCTACTGAGTAGAAAAGTAGCAATGTGCCGAAAACCAGGGGTGGCTCTATGTATTTTGCCGCCCCAAGCATGGCAGTCAGGCGGCTTTCAGCGGCGCACCTACGGGAGGTCCGCTGGTAACGCGGATTCAGCGGCATGCCTGTGAGAGGTCTGCCGGTCCCACGCCTTCGGCGTACCCGCCGCCAAATTGCTGCTGAAGCCGCGAGACCGGCAGACCTCCCGCAGGCATGCCGCCGAAGGCTGCCTAACTGCCGTCCTCACGGCGACCGGCAGGCCACCCCCCACGGCTTGCTGCCCCAGGCATGCGCTTGGTGCGCTGGTGCCTGGAGCCGCCCCTGCCGAAAACTGAACTAAACTAAAATTTCAAAAAAAAAAACTTGAGCCTTTTCAGTGCCTAGTATATTTGGAAGTGATAGACGGCCCTCTTGAGAGTGTGTGTGTGTGTGTGTGTGTGTGTGTGTGTGTGTGTAGTAGAGAGAGAGAGACATTACGTACAGCTAAGTTTTTTTTTGTGAGGTGACAGGGGGCTTCAAATGAAGCTGCATATTTCCACATCTAGGATGCATATTGCCAAGTGTCATGGCAAAGTGAGATTTTAAAGCCATAGTAAATCACTCATGGATTGGGTAGAGAAAAAATATAGGCATCTTTTGACAGGTTGTTTCGATAGTCTTGTGGTATATGTGCCATTTGATTTTATTACGTTAACATAAAATCCAAACTGCATACTTTAAAACAATGGAAGTTTGTGTGTGTGTATGTATGTATTTATTTGTTTGTTTATTTATGCATATGTAAGAAAGCCAAGTACTTTATGTAGCACTGACATGCTTATTTTTTTTAAAGGTGAATAATTAATACCTTGGAACCTATTTCTAATAGAGCAGTAAATCTCCAGCAATTTAGACCTATTTTCAAAAGTGGAGGCCTCAAATTAGGCTCCTAAGTACAAATTTAGGTACCTAAACAAGTAGCTTGATTTTTTTAGAAATGCTAAGCAACTCCCATGATTTCAAACACATACATTGACTTCAGTTGTGTGCTCAGTACTTATGCAAACCAAGCTAGTTACTAAGGGACAGGATTTTCAAAATCACCTATGTGATTTAGGAGCACAAGTCCCATTATCTAATCCAAGGTCCCTGTGTAGGGACTCAGGAGCTTAAATTTTGGCATCTATTTTTTAAAATGTTGGCTAAGATACCAGTAACTTTCTTTGGAACACTGTAGTTAACTATGTTTATCCTTTTCAGAACCTTCATCTAGAGTCCATAAAGTTATGAAGCCAAGTGGTAAGTTATATTGTATCTAATAGTATATGCTATTAACAGAAAAAATCAACACGCTAAGCAGTACATACCATAAATTAGGTAAACCAACATAATGGAATTCAGAGATGTGCTATCATCTTCTTCATGACTCTTCCCATTGTGCTTAGTTTGCAGCACATGTAGAGCTGGACCCTCAGCTTTTGTAAACTGATGTAGTTAAAGGTAATGAAGTTGCCCTGATTTACATCAGCTGACTATCTTGCCCATAGTATGCAACCTTAGCCTTGAGAAAATTGCAATGCCTGATCCTGCAAACACTGAAGCAAGTAAATAGTCCCATATACATACAGTTATTCATATGTTTGCAGGATCAGGAACTTAATTGGGATCCATCATAATATTATGCTGAGAGAGACTGATAACACAACCTCTTGGAGACAGGGTGTGAATACGCCCTTCAATAAACATCACTGTCAGGATACATTAATCACAAGCCCCACCTCCACCCCACCCCCTAAGACAAAATGGTTTGTGAACCTGCCCAGGAGTTTCTGGACTGAGTGGGCAAAGGAATTTTGTTGAGTGTTGATTTCTGTTAGAGGTGGGTGGGTTGGAGGCAGAACACACAGAAAATGAGAATACACAGACCAGGGGGAGAGGCCGCAGCAAAAAGCAAGAAGGCCAACAGTAGCCTCTGAGCATGGTGTATGACTGTGAGGGGGAAAGCTAGAGAGCTTTGGGTTTGTTGTTGGCTGAAGATGCTTGGGGGTCTAGCTACTCTTGGTTCCTCCTGCATTTGGAGAATCAGGGCTTTGTACAATCCTTGCAAATAAAGATAGCATCAAAGAACATACCAGTTTCCAGCTGGAACATTCCCAGGGCCCCAAACTTTGACTGCCATTCCTGTCAAAAAGGGGCAACAATAAAATTAATATTTTTAACTGTAATTATTATTTATTTAATGTTATTTGTGGGGAAAGTAAGGCTTTAGCACTAAGCAAATTAATTCTAAATCTTAGACAACAGGATTCAGACTTGAAATATTAATGTAACATTAATAAAGTGGCACAAACTGACCCTTCTATGATTATTTATTATGCTGTACATATTTTTGTATATATTTTCAGAAATAAGTCCAGAGATGCACAAGGTATGTCCTTTTTGTATTCCATATCTCAGTAGATTCAAATAGTACATCGGGTTGTTTGAATCCAGAATACTTAATAACTATAAAACTTTCAGAATGTATTGTGTTTTATTGGTTTTAAATAGGATACAAGAACAATACATTTCGGAGTCTCTCCAATAACATTATAACATTATAAAGAAGTACACATTTTATTTCAGCAATACCTAATAAATAGAACTCGATTGATACATGTCTGCATGCCTAGATTTTATGATACAGTGCCATAAATCTATAATGTAAAAATACTTTTAAAAATGCAGTTAGGATAACTAAAGTTAGGGTGACCAGATGTCCTGATTTTGGGGTCTTTTTCTTATATAGGTTCCTATTACCCCCACCCCCGTCCTGATTTTTCACATTTGCTAACTAAAGTGCTATGCAAAGATGGCATTTTTTTGGCAGTTCTGCTACTTGTATGCATTTCAAGTCACGTTACATTTCTGGCAAAAATAAGCTTGTAATACACATTACTCCTGTTAGCCATGCAGAGTCAATATGGAGGAGTAAGCTCAACAAGCCAGAAAAGAGTCCATTTGCAATAAGAATTGTTAATGACATTCTAATTGAAGCAGGAAAGACGCTTGAGTTTCAGATCTTAGGCTGAGTTAGCAGGGCTGACACTTAGGGGAAAGAATGTTTTTACATGCAAATGGAGCACATTTTATCTGGCATCACTGTGACACAGTAGCATCAAACGCCATTATGCCATTTTTCCACAGTCCTTTTATAGGGTATATCATATGGTCCCTATATATCACTTGTGGAAAGTTTAGTGATCAATTCAAGTTCTTTTCTTTGATGTTTCACTTAGGTACAGACGAATGCAGCAAAAACTTGTATTTTGGGGCTTTGTTTGTGATTTTTATCTTGCAGCATAAATAAATGTTGATCATGGCATGTTAAAATATACAACATAAATGGGATTCTTAAATTAGTTTTAATTTTTTTTTTTTAAAGCGGAGCAGTATTGAAGGAGCCCTGCTTTCTCAGGCTGCCAAACAGGGATCAAGTGAAGCCCTGCTCAGTTCTAGGAAAAAAGGTTCATTGAATCTAAGTGGGCTTGTGAATGAATTTCAAGGGTCCATTGAACCAGCCTACAGCAGTGATCAAGATGAAAATCTCCACCCATGTGCTACAGAACAGATAGATGCTGATGATGAGGAAGAGTGTGAACAGGTAATCTCTTTGCTTTCTGTGGAGGGGGTGGAGGGAGAGGGGCTTAAATTTATTCACAAAACTATCATGTGGCAGAGTAAATGTTGTACTAATGCCCATTTAAAGGTGTAGATATATTGCTTATAATTGCTGCTGCTTCTGAGTATTGTTCCTTAAGCCATGGGATGTTCCCAAATATTCATTGAGCTTTGGTGGTAGAGTTAAGGAGTTTCAATTTTGGAACACTGTAACCATAACGACAGCAACATCCAAAATAAGCATTTGCATTTAGACATCATCAATCTGTTGTAATCCAAGAGAGGAAGGAACTGAGTTCTTTCTGGACTACACTCTGGGGGTGAAATTCACCTCTGTGCAGAGGATCAGGGCACTTACACCTACAGAAAGCATTTGTTTTTACTCAGTCTTTTCTACTCCTCCGGATTGCCTTTGATGTAAATGTTGCTATTTTTACTCAGAGCTATCTTCTTATTGCTCTGGTACTTGTCACTGTATGAGCTTAACTATACTGTAAAAGAAGGTGATTGACTATCATTACGGTCATTGTACAGATGGTACCCTTTCCACTCTATGGGATATCTTCATGCATGTGCAGCTGTTCTGAATGACTGTAGGCCCCAGTTTTTAAATATGGACATATTAACAAGGTGTCCAAATCCCACACTTGGTTGCTCTAATCTATGCTAGGGAACATAAATACCTATCCAATAGTCCTAAATACCAATTTAAGTGGTCAGATATGTGATTTGGAGATACATCTAGGCACTCACGGTTTTAAATTGAGCTACTCATCATTACATAAAGCAGTTTGCAATGGGGCACACAAGCCCCTGTGCATGGAAGGAAGGGGTTAATGGGCTGCTGAAGGCCCAGTTAGCCCAAACTGAGCCACCTGGAGCTTGGAGACAGGTTTCCAGGGAGAGGCTTGGAGGGCGCAGGCAGAGAGAGAGAGAGACATAAGGCTCTCACTGTCAGGGTATGTCTACACTACCCGCCGCATCGGTGGGCAGCAATTGATCCAGCGGGGGTTGATTTAGCGCGTCTAATCTAGACGTGATAAATCGAGCCCCAAGCACTCTCCCGTTGACTCCTGTACTCCACTGCCACGAGAGGCGTAGGTAGAATCAATGGAGGAGCGGCAGCAGTTGACTCACCGCAGTGAAGACACCGTGGTGAGTAGGTCGAAGTACATCGACTTCAGCTACATTATTCACGTAGCTGAAGTTGAGTAACTTAGATCGATCCCCCCTCCTAGTGTAGACCAGGCCTCAGAGAGAAGGCTGGCTAGGGCCAGGGGCTAGGGTGGATCTTCTGGAAGAAAGGGAAGAGTTTATTTCGTATTTGTTTTGGACTTTGAGTGCCCAGCAGGGATAGATCTATAAGCGACCTAGCTAGAGGGCTAAGTTCTACAACCCAGAAAGGTGTTGGGGGCTGGGTGGAGCAGGGAAGAGCAGCTAGGAAACTAATGCTGAGTGGTGGTTGTGCTGCAAGGGATGCTCTGGTAAGGACGTGACAGAGTCCTCTGAAAACTCCTCCCTGAACCTGCTGCCTGCCATGCCATGGTAAACTGCACTGCTCTGAGAATTTTATTATGAATTCTGGAGGCAAGTAACATCCTGCATTGAATGTGGTCTCTGATATCTAGCAACACAAAAGGGATAGCACAAGAAAATGTCTCTTCCACTGCAAATTCTGATTTAGTTGCTTCATGTTGAACTCCGGCATTTCCCGGATTTGGCTGTGACTAAATACTCTGCTGTTCGAAGAACTGTAGATCATAATATATCCATTATTTTTTTTAATCACAGGGCACACAACAAAATTCACAGCAAAAACCAAAAGGAGGTAGAAAAAGACTTAATAGCCAAGCTGCTGAAAATGTTGAAAAACGAAGAAGTGTTAATCTCAACAAATGTGAAGTGCAGGTATTTAAAACGAAATGTGTCAGGCCTGATTCTCTTATTTTGTTACATCTCTGTATATCATAGCTATGTCATAGGCATCTATATGTATCTTTCTAAATGGACATATGTAGATAAAAATAAAATTGCCATGATATCTAAGTAATGTCTTATGCTCAGAAATGCTTTCCCTAAAGCTTAAATAAACATTAAAAGAGTAAGAAGTAAAATCTGTAAAAATAATGATCCAACAAACTGCAATTAGACATCTGTATCTGCAAGTATTTCACATATGTGATCTTAAAAGCAAATTAACGTTTACTTAATTTTATTAGTGTTCCTTTACATTAAAACGATCACTCTAAAGTGCTATTTTGTATGCACTAGTTTTACGTTATTTAATTTAAATTTTAATCATATTGTCTAAAAATAAATACTATACATTTTAGTGCAGAATCTTCTATCTGATTATGATGATTACTAGATACACCCACTAATCTGATGCTATTACAAAATAGCTTGATGTAATATTGGGAGGCTGAACACCTGGTAGATAATACTGTACTTTCTTTTAAAGGACTCAATCCTGCAAGGTAATGAGCATCAAACTCCCATGAAAGGCCTGGTTCAGCAAAGCACTAAAGTATATTCTTAATTCTTCAAGCATAACGTCAGTGGGAGCTTAGGGTGTGCACCATCTCTCAGGGTATTAAGTAACATGCAGGATCAAGCCCATGCAGCTTTAGAACATCCTTGGAATACTTTGCAAAGTTTTGGCCACCTCTTAATAATGAAGTCATTGATATTTTGGAAAGAATCCAATGAAGAGTCATAAAATGATGAAAGTATTCAAGGAAAAAAAGTTTGCCTTCTGTAGTGAACTGTGATTATATTATATTATATATTCAAGGCTATGCCCTGTGATGTGAATTTAGGAGACCCCAATACATATTGCTTAGGGGAAAAGATGACTAACGGGATCAGTCTTACCTGCTTATTGCCACCCCATTGTAGTCCTCCTATATGTAGGGGGGATGAGTCATACTTTTATATTCAACTGCTTGATAGTGGAAAGGATTGGGGGTGGTGGCAAAGTTTTACACATCCACCTCGGTTTGCAAGAGGTGATAAGGGGTCTGAAACAATGGAGCCAGATCGTTCTACATTCCTCTGCCAGGCTCCACACTGCACAGCATTAGGGTCAAGGTTATAGTCCTCTGTATCAAGGACATTTGTGCATTACTGCAGAGAGAGAGACTAACAAAACTGTGTATTTCAAATCTCCACAGAGCTCCAAAGATCCTTCAGATGAAGAATCTACCCAGGTGAATACAGACCTTTCCTTTTCCTGTTCTGCTAGGCAGCCATCTAGACAGTTTAGCACACCACAGAACAACTCACTAATCATGGATATCCTGGGGGGAACTACCACTGTGAGAAACATCTGGACTGACCATCAGATCAGACAAGCCTTGTTTCCCAGTAGACGGCCACCTCAGGAGAATGAAGACGATGAAGATGATTATCAGATGTTTGTACCATCGGTATCTACATCCAATTCAAGTTCAATTGTGTGTGAAGAGAGGGGCGCTTCAGGTCGTCCATGCAGTTGGCATGTGGGATTAATTAATCAAAAT